ATTTACCCATTTGAACTGCACAGAAAGTCGCTTTCTGTGTATTTACACAATTGTAAAACCTCCTTCAATTTTAGACCTTTTTCATCACTCCTAAGTAAAGGCTCCATCCATTAGTGAGCACTTCCATTTTTCTCCAACCCACCTAGGCAACCACTCATCTTTCCGCTCTGCTCTATAACTTGATCTGTTCAAAGTATTTCATACAAAGAAATTAAAATGAAATCATACAATATATAGTATTTTGTGACTGTCTTCTTTCAATTGGCAAATGTGTCAAAGGCTCATCCATGTTGTAGGGTGTATCAGTGTTCGATTCCTTTTTATTGACAATTCCTATTCAATTGTATGGACATCCCCCACTTTCTGTTGCTTACTTTTATGAGGTGTCATGCCTATGCAGTGCAGTGTACAAATTTTCAATGTGGCCATATTACATTTTATTTATCCATTCATTAGTTTACAAACATTTGGGTTATTTTCTTTTAACTGTTAAAAGTAATGCTGCCATGCACATTCATATACACGTTTTAAGTGAACTGTTAGTGGAATTACTTGGTTTAATCTCTTAAGAAATGGATTTGCTCATGGAAACAATGCCTCTGTGGTCTTGCAGTACCAGGTGAGATAATAGAAATTTACTCAATCACTGGCTTCTTGCTGATGATTTGCTTTGCCTGTTTCTTGTGTTTGGAAACTGGAAGGCCCCTTGCTGTTGGCCGGCCTACACTCCATATCAGCTTGTCATGCATCCCAGACTTATGACATAACCCAATTCACATTTCTCCATCTTATGTATATGAAACCACGAGCATCCTTGCCGAAATCCATATCCAGGATCTCTGTAAACTCTTCCAGATCTGCAAATCTAGTAGCCATCCCGTGGGACGAGAAAAAGGTGGTTAAATTGACACCACTTGTTCTTAACGCTCAGACCTAAGGGCTGAAAAACTGACTGCTTCATGTCAAATTCTAATTTTTGGCTGGGAATAAACACTAACTTGCCTACGCTCCCCAGGTTCACCTCTCCTGCCCTCTGAAATCATTACCTCAGGCCCTGTTGGAGTCTGCCATTTCTCTCTCTCTGCCCTGCAAAACTCTCCACCCTGCTGTAGATCTCATTCAAGCCTGGTCTCCCCGATTCCTGCATTCATCAGGATGTTGAAGCTGCAGGGTTCCTCCCTCTCTGGGCCTACATCTCACTAAGCTTCTTTTTATTATACTCTTCCCAGTAGAAAGATTGTTTTCCCTGATAGAGAAACAAAAGCGTTATTGAGTACTTCTCAGGAGTTCCTGCGGTTTTCCAGCAGGTGTGTGTACTGTACTCTCCTTCAAGCTTACAAGTCCTCTTCCTTGTTCTCTGGCTTTGGTGAATCAATGAGTCCTTCCAGGTTGGCATCAGTAGTTTCACAAGCTCTGTTCACTGTAGTGTCCAGAATTCTTTATGTAGGTCACAAAGGTCCAGACCTCCTTTTAGGGGGATGTCTTCAGGTGGTTGGCTATAGGAACATTTATCTGTGGGCACTATCTTGGAATAACTTTTGGGTGGTAATGGATTTCTTTTCGCTTCTCTTTTCAGGACCCCCAGAAATTGTCTAGCTTCTCTTTTTAGCAACTACCACCCACTTTTTCCTAGTCTTTCTTCTCCCATTGGCTGTGCAGAAAGGAACCCAGCATACCAGTATGCTTTGCTCAGCTCCAGGTAAGGTTAGAAGTTCTGAAGTACTTTTGAAGTCATCTTTAGCAATTGACCCTGGTTAGCGCAGGGAGACAGGTTTAACAATAATGGGGAAATAACAAGAAATGTTTAGCACCAATAGTAGCCACCCTTCAAACCCACTGTGACACACTCAATGCTGGAGCTTTCTCCGTCGCCTTTCTCTGTCACCCCATGAACACACAAGTCAGTGCTCCGTGTCCACCCACCTGTGTGTGCATTTGTACATACTCGTGAATTCTCTCGCTTCCCTCTTCTCATTCTGATCTGTACCTTGCTGTACTGTAGGAAAGTGGCAGTATCAGAGCATTTGAACTGCAGATCAGAAGTTCCATTAAAATCTAGCAACTTCTTCCTTCCCTGTGTAGTTACCCTCATCCATGCATTCTTTATCCTGTCTGGTGGGCCTGTGACTCGCTGAGGAGCCCACAAAGCATCTGTTAATGCCAGTCCTCATCAGGATCATTTGGATTTCTATTCCTACTACAACACACACACACACACACACATGCGGTGGGGGGGAGGGAGGAAAGAGAGAATTTTTGCTATTAATAGTTATTACGGTTTATAAAGTCACTATGAACACTGACTTGCTGAACATCAAACCTAAGGAAAATATAGGGTTAGCTTCCTATAAGCTTTTGGTCACTTTTTTTTCAAATATTGGCAATATATAACCTTGCTTTACTATGTTTTCTATTTAAAAACTCCTTAGTTAGAACATATTGCTGATTAGTTAACATTAAATTCATTGGACCATGGTCCTATAATTGATGCCTGCACAGAGCTTATTTAATATACATATTTTCTCCATAAGGGACATCACACACATGCACACACACGCACACACACACACACACACCCCTCCCTCCCAGGGCAGGTGTCATCTGTTTGTGGTGCACCTACTATAGCACAGGCACTGTATGAGCTAAGGGCCATTGCATTTCATTACCAGTGTGTCCTTGAGGACTAGCACAGGGCCTGACTTTGAAGGCCCTCAATAAATACACGTTATATAAGTAAATGAATCACTGAAAGTTCAGTAACATCAATTATACACTACATAAATGCTACATACTCCAGTTAATGTCTACTCCTGGTACATAGTTCAATAGTTTGCCCAGGCTGGATATGTTCTCATAAAAGCTACTGAGGCCATTGCCCAACACCTCTGCACCTTTGTTAGAAAAATAATTTTATTATGATGATTATTAGACTGATGTGGTTCTTTATATGTCAAAAATACAGTCATGTAGCTCCAACTCTATTACATTTATTGTATATAAGCAAGCTGTTGATTTAGCCATCATTTAAAATCACTCTGTGTGTGTGTGTGTGATTAAACCCACACAGGCCTGGTACATATTAGCGAGTACTCTGCCACGTAACTATATCCTTAGTCCTTTTAAGTTTGCTAAATTGTCCAAGCTGATTCCAAACTTGTTTTCTTTCTGTCTCACCCGCCTAAGTAACTGGAATCACAGATGTGTAGCACCACACTGGCCTTTTTTCTTTCCTTTTTTTTTTTAAACTTTTAAGAAATCTTAGAGAAGTTCCAGGATGAATAGGTTAGTCTATAGACAAAGTTCTCTGTTTTCTGATTTGCTAGTAACCTGGTTCTGGTTCTATAGCCATTTGGATTTTGAGAGCCCAAAGACAAGAGTTCAGTAACATGAATGGTAGAGTTCAAGATCTTTTGGAGAGAAAATAGGTATATCTCCACCTAGCGGTCAAAAGTAGAACGTGGGACCACTGAAATAGGTTTGGACCACTGGGCTCTGGTCTATGCACCCAAACCTAGAGTTATTTTCTTGTAAGTCAAAGATTAGTGGGAGGAGGCTGGGCCTATAGCTCAGTGCCACAGCGCCTACCTGACAAGCACAAGGTCCTGAGTTCAATTCCCAGTACCACAAAACAAGACCAAAGAGAGAGAGAGAAAGAGAGAGAGACAGAGAGAGAGAGAGAGAGAGAGAGAGAGAGAGAGATATTACTGAGAGGAAAAAGAACTAGACATATCAAGGTAAATCCACCAGGATTCCTGAAGGACACATTAAATGGAGTCATTCCAATATGAGTTTGGAATCATAAATTCAGTCTTCAAGTCCAGCTCTTCTACAGACAAACTCTGAGATTTAGGGTGAGATTATCCAAGTGCCAGCTTCCTCATCTGTTAGCTAGGAATAGAGGCATTTACAGTATATAAATTTGCTTTAAGGATCAAATAAAATAATGTGCATAAACTGGTCAGCTCAAAGTCTGGCATATAAAAGGCAGCCAGTTAACAGTAAGCATTACTTCTCATCTATTTGGAAGGAAGAGTACAATATTTCCTTCAGGGCAGCACTTAGGGATTACATACATGCCTACATTGCCAATGAAAGTAACATGTTTTTCCAACAGCATAAGGAATCAGATGGCTATTACATGTGCTAGTGCAACAGAATGTATTGAATTATCTACTGGCAGAGAATATATAAAGAGGAGCTCTGGATTGAATGGCCTGGAGAAAAATTTAACAGGTTGACCCTCCAGGTGAGTGGAAATGCACTGCAGTAGACAGGTCACAGTTAGTTCCTCTCCACCCACTAAAAATAAAGACAGCAAGCTAGTGGCACACAAACTGGAAAGTGCCCCAAATAAATCATGGGCTCTTATTATCTTTTGGAGAAAAATTGTTACCTTTAAAATACGTTTTCTAATCCTAGCAAAATAATATTTAGTCTCATGCATTACGATCTCCTCTGGCATAGCACACAGAACCTCATTTACAGAGGTCTGTGAGAACAGAAATGCGGAATTCTATCTTGCAACTCAAGTTGAACTTATGGTTTCCTACATGCCTCTGTCCCTTCGTGTTTCTTGGTTAAATCAGCCGTCCTCAAAGATGTGCAAGACTTGAATTAGTTTTGTGTTATAAGTTAAGATGAGGGTGAGCCCCCAGTGCAACATGATTGGCATGCTTCAAGAGTAGAAAACACGCACACACATACCTACACGCATGCACATGCACACGTGCACACGCACACACACACACACATAGATAACAGGCAGAGACTGGAGGAAGGTACCAAGCAACACCACGGAGCCCTAACAACGCAGAAAGGAGGAGAAAGGCAGGCATCAGATGCTCTCCAGAAAGAGAGAACATGACCCGGTCAATAACTTAATCGCAGACTCTGGCTTTTGCAACTAAGAGGAAATTTCTGTCAAGTCAAGCCACCCAGTTTGAGTAGACTTTGCGAGGCCACGGGGAGTGAACACATGACCCCTAGCACACAGAACTTACAGAATGGCTGAGTGGGAGGTGCTGATCCGAGCAGTTTTTCATTCTCTGGGTTTCCGATCTTGCAAAATTCTAGCAAGCTGCCTCTACATGAGGGGTGGGGTCCCCGAACTCACTTGTGCCACAGCTGACACTGAAAACATCTTAGCATTAAAGATCTCTGCAACAGTCGCCCCACCTGGGCAGATTCGAGTGGGGATTTTCCTCTCTGGACAGGTGACAGCCAGCTTCTGAAGCCTGGCACTGCCAGGTCATCTGTCCCGTTCTGTTTCCACGGGGAGGGCATGCATTTAACCTTCCAAGGCCTGATCTTTGGTGGAAACGTTCAGACACTTGCCTTCTATGCTTCCCTGCCTTTTCCCAGCTGCCAGGAACTCCACCCTTCTCGGTCTGGTGAAGAGCACGTGAAACTCAATATACTGGACTTTGAAATCCTTGCACAGTTAGTGAACACCCTGTGAAAATCCATGACATGTTACCTCGGCATGGTTGGCTCTAGGAAATGCTCAGTCATGCTGCTGCTGATTGAGCGCCTGGCCTGAACTCAGGCTGTTGCATGCTCCTGTGCAGAGTTTGCCTGGGCAGCAAAACGCTTGTATTTAAAAACAACTCCACTAGGTGGAGCTCCGTTTAAGGTTGGCCCCATCTAGTTCCCCTTTAGTATACACAAATACTGGAGCGAGAGCCCAGGAGCGCGAAGAAGCTCCTAAGCTCGGGAGGCAGACGGAGCAGGCGTCATAACCCTTGAGGTCTGGCTTAGCCTTCAGGTTAGACAGAACCTCCCACTGCGTCCTTCCCCAGGGCCTCGCCTAGGGTCACGTGCCTTCCACCTTCCTGGGCCAGGGACTGAGGACAGGGCTCTCAGGACTGGACGTGTCACAAAATCAGTTGGCAACACGGGAAAGAAAAGTTTGTCCGGGGGATCTGAAGGACACAGGATTTAACACAGGAAGTGACTGTCTCAAGGTCAACCTGGTACCTCGCATGGCCAAAGTCAGCTAGGCGGGGCAGGCACTGTCAGACCTCACTGGCGGCCACCATCTGCCCTGTGCCTGCTAACACCTTTGGGGAACACTCAGTGGCCAGCTGAGAAGACAGGACAGGGCCTTTGACACTGTGACAGGATAGAGTGCATTTCCAGTTGGATTTGAAATACTTAAAACAGAAGAAAGGACCTGAGCCAACTTTTTCTATAGAAATCTCTGTAAGTGTTTCAACATGGGAGTGCAGACGGGTGAGCCAGCCAGCAAGCTTGTGCCAAAACAAAGGGACCGAGGAGAAGGAAACTCTGAGGAGCTTTCTCAGCTTCCATTACCACGTACCTTAGAAGAGGCTTGCCCAGTTATTGTCTACAAAGGAACATTTGCTTTTTCTAAATGACAAAACTGTTGAACATCAGCTTCATGAGCTTCCTCAGCCACGAACTGGAAAAAAATGATGCTCCCACCCCCGCAATGATGAGAATTGAAAATACAATGTGAAACTTCCAAACCAAAGAATTACACATGGCAAGTCCTTAATGATCAACTTGCCCTTCTCTCCTTGGCACCGCTCTATGAAGTTTGGAGGACGCCAGAGCAAATCCTCTCCTCGGCAGCTTCACCACCTTCAAGCTGATTCAGGTGTATGAATAATGAAGAGAATGGATTATGGGTGCCCTGTGTTCCTCCAGTTTGCCTGACGAATGGCCCTGAGGAAGGGCCCCCCAAAGGCAAAGCCAGGTATGCTGACGTCCCAGATCAATCTGGGCCCTTCAGTCCTCCAAAGACTGGCTGCACTTTCTGAGCTGTCCAAGGAACACTGTGAAACACAGTAGGGGAATCTGATTTCATGAGCCTTCAATTTCTTCTTCTCTATCCCCTTATTTCCTCTCTCATCAAAGTTGTAGGCCTCATTTTCCTTGACAAGAAAAGCAGTTTGTTGATTTATCCATCATCTACAATTACAACTTGGAAAGATCCAAAATTTGATCTCAGGAAAAATAAATATCACCAACTTTAAGGCAATGAACATTTATACACTGCTATATCTCTGTACAAGATTCTTTCTCATTCATCACTAAGGAAATGGTGAAAGAGAGGAGGGGTCTTTGGGTGTCCCTGAATTCACTTCAAAAGATCATTCCACTGTGGAAAGAATTGTGTGGCTCCCACCCAAGAAATGGTCACTCATATATCAGAATAAGCCTTTAAAGTGATTCAGCTAACTCTTAGTACTGTAAATAAACAAATACATACATATATACATAAACAATGCTTGTTCTGGACAGGTTGGGACTCTTGTAACCCAGTTTACCAAATCAGCCTGTTGATAATTCCCCTCAGTCCCTGATTGGATCAAGTTGATCTGCCTGTACTCAGACTTCCTACCTGAAGAAAATTCAATACCATTTGGAAGATAATAAAAACAACCTGAAACTTCTATATATAAACCCATGTGCAGGCTTCTTTCAATCCAGAATTGTGAGGCTTGCCAGGTTACAAAACAAACTGATCAAAGATCAAGATAAAACATAGACAAAAGAAAAGGGGCCACAGATGATGTCGATAGTGGATCAAACATGGGTTTTTACTTCTTATAGAAGAGTAGACAGAGCAGAAAAAATGAAATAGATCAGGATAAAAGTATCAATTCTGAAACATGGAGCTAAAATGGATTTTAAAACAGAGAAGATCATACTGAACATATGACACGTGATTAAAAGACTAACACATGTAATTGGGTCCCAGACATATAGAGAAAACATAGAAAATGAAACATATGAAATATGTATTGAGATACTGTCTGAAATTTTTCAAAAGATGAAGACAGACATGAAGTTACAGAATCACCAAAAACTCCAAGGAATATAAATACAAACTATACATAGGCAATATCATAGCCAAATCGACAAAAACAAAATATAAACAGAAAAATCTTGGAGGCAACCAAAGAGAAAAGATACATTACCTTTAACAGTGATAGTAAAATGAACGAATAACCTCTTTCATAGAGGCCAGACAGTGGAATAGCATATTATAAATGCTTATGGGAAAAAAAATGTCAACTTACAATTTTACCATAAAAATATTCTGTAAAAGTAAAAGCAAAATAAAAATATTTTCCAAAAACCCAAAGGAATTCTTCATCTGTATATTTATACAAAATAAAAGTAACGAATACTAAGAAAATTCTTCAGATATAAAAGAAAAATGACCCTAGATGAAATTAGGGTAATATAGGTAGAAAAGAGCACTGAAAAGGAAAATGAGTAATATGAATCAAAGCTTAATGTTTAAAACAATAAAACTCATCCAGAGTTTGTCACAAATGTAGAAATAAAATATACACAAACAATAGCCCAGAGGCAAAGTTGCATAGATGGGGTTAAAGGTTCTGTTCCGCCTTTTACAGAGGGGAGTCAGTGATCATTTAAAAGAAATGCAAGTCCAAGATCATGCTGTCCTCACTGAGTAAATGTCCACAGAACTTTGTGAGTGACAGAAACTTTCCGTATCTGAGCTATTCCCTGTGGTAGCCATTAGCCACCCAAAGCTGTTGAGCATTCAAAGGTATCTATTGCAACTAAGGAAATGACTTAATTGTGTTTAATTTTAATTAATGTAGTTCTTAAAAGCCACATACAACTATAGCTATGTCTATGTACTGAATTGCACAGCCCTAGGACAATTACCAAAAGAAGAAAGAAAGGGTGTACAGTGCAGAGCACTCAGGCTGGAGACATACAGCAAGCTCCAAAGTTCCAGTGATGTTCATTGGCCACACCAAGTTGTGCACGTTAAATTACAGAATTGCTGCAGTCTTTTTCAAGGACCATGTCTCATGATCCTTTAGGCTTCTGTTCAGTACCCTTTTTAGTGACCACTGCTTGGTACTGAATAGCTGCTGACATTTCAGAGCTAAGCTTTGACCAGTTTTAAGGGAACACTCCATCCCTATGAGAAAGACACTATTACTAAATAATGAGACATGATTACTTCTGATGTAAACAGATTTTGCTCCTGTTCTTTCAGCCTGGAGGCTTGAAATGTAGACTGTTGTGTCTCAAAATCCACTCCAGTTTTGAACGTTCTGGTCCAGAATACCTACTTTTTCTGCAGCCCTTCTAGGCAAACTCCAGGAGCCGGAACCACACCCTTCAAGCTTCAGGTGGGCTTTCAGGAAAGTTCACCCAGAATGCCAATCTACAGAAATGATTTCCTTCACCCAGATCTTCCAATATGGATCTAGCTGGTTGCTCTGATCCAGAGTACAAAACTATTTCTCTGTTCTGGATAAAGGAGGATTTAGATGTCTCTCTAGGTCACGAGGAGCTGGATTTATTTTCCTTCAAGAGAGGAGGAGGAGGAGACCCAACAGCCCTGTAGAGCCCTGGTGCTCCTGCTTACTCTGTGACTCGTGTGTGCCCACAGCTTGGGAGCCTTCCTCGGTCCTTCCCACCTGTAGGACATCATGGTAAAATGAGGGTGGCAGGGAGGGCACCAAAATGATCAGAGATGGAGGATTTTATGGGAAAGTTTTCAGAGGTCAAGATTTGAAAAGATGTATTAGAAGTTTGCAGATCCATGAGAATTGTGATTAACTTTGAAAATCTGAATGTCTTACTAAACTCCTGACAACCACATGCAAGAGTAATCTCTGAAATACAAAAAATGTAGTTTACAGGCACAGAAGAGTGAATCCTTATTTATTTTTTTGCATTGGAATGAATCTATTCATTTTTCATTTATTTATTTTTACTCTAAGATGCAGTATTCAAACAAAGAAATTTAAGCATATTTAGGCTGTGTTAATCTTAGCTGGTCATTAAAGGTTGTAAGAGATTCTTGCCCCCAAGAGTCTGGACAGGCCTGGGAAGTGCAGGGACGGGCGACTTGTGCCTAGAGGGAAGTCACTCCCCTGGAGGTCAGCTTCAGGAAGGCTCTGGTCATGGACTCTGCTCAACTTTTATTTATGATCTCCCTGTGCCACTTCTGCCCTGGTTTGTCCATCTACTCTGAGAGACCGTTTTAAGTACAGATGTGTTCTAAAAGCCCATCTTACCAGTAGGCTAGAAGTTCGGAACAGCCGGATAATTGCTGTTGCTATTCCTGAGAAATGGCTGCTGGGATCCATAAATAAATGCAGAATGTTTAGCATTTAGCGTATTTTTTAAAACACTGTTTACCAATTTCTTTTCATTTTGCCAGTTGTGAGAGTTGCCAAACAGCTCTTGAAGATTTGGCCCACCTCTCAAACTAAGATCCTGCCTCAAAGGTCCTGATCAAAGAAAGAAAGAAAGAGAGAGAGAGAGAGAGAGAGAGAGAGAGAGAGAGAGAACAGAAAGAAAGAAGAAAGAAAGAAAGAAAGAAAGAAAGAAATTAGGATTCAAAGTAGCCAAGTCTATATTTATATTTACCTAAATAATTAAATCTTATTCCATGCCTGTGTCAAGCACATAATAAAAAGTAGCCTTAAGATATGGGGCACAGGCTTGGCTGCAGCCACTAACAGGCGAGAACAGGGTTCCTAACTGTGACGCTACCTTGGCTGGCATTCTTTATTTCCT